TATATATATGTTTATGCATCTGTATTAGTATGTTTCTATATGTCTACGTATCTTTACATCTATTTATGTTCTATGTATCTATTTATCTATCTGGATTTGTTGTTGTTTGTATGTTGTCTTCACTTACCGTTGACCCAGAACCGGCTGATGTGGCGCTGGAACTTCCGGTCAGAGCGCATGTCAGGAAGGTACCACCTGATCAATACCTACTGGAAGGGCTTGCCCAGGACGCTGGACGCTGCTGTGGAGTGGAGTGACCATTACATTTACTTCTTCAGAAGAAATAAGTGAGTCTTTGAAAATGACGTATCTTTCAGCACATGTCATTGTATTTTAGTTGAAAAGCAGAGAGATACATACTATAATAATTATGTTGGTCCTATAAAACGCCATCACACTATCATGAGGAAAATTATTGAAAGCAAGATGTGGGGTAAAAGGGGCCAAGGGTGGACCTAGAACAGTGTGGGTCGATAACGTCAAGACATTGGATGGCTTAAGTATGACAGAGTGCGTTACAGCAGCTAGATGCTGTAAGCAGTGATGGGTAACATGTACGTCAACCTAGTCAGAGCCAAACTTGGACTCCTGCTGCTATCCAGGAATGTTTTCTTAGTTTTGCCTTTTGTGGTGTCAACAGACAATATAAAAGCAGTATACTGGATACAGCTTTTTACCTGGGCGGTAGTCATAGAGAAAGTCGATTGCAAAAGTACTTATCTTGACTTATTTTATATTAGGCGGACTGCTTTTACCCCGTCTGCCGGTGCCTACCACGGCTGAATAGGACATAACATCTCAACAGGAAGACGGGGATACTCGGTAAAATGGACCTCCGATAACAAATTATGATAAGAGCTCAATAACGCTTACCAACACGTATAGGAAGCAGCTTAATATTTTATCGTAAGAATCAGGGCTTCAAAGTCGCGCTGCATCTTACCCATGAGATAGGAAATTAGATCCCCGATAACCAAGTGGGGGCCAGCCAATGGTACATACTCCGTGAGTCAGATCATCCATAAAATATGGGAATAAAATAAACCGGGGTAGTTGAAAAAAACAAAAACAAACAACAACAACAACAACAACAACAACAACAACAACAACAACAACAAAAACAACAACAGCAACAACAGCAAAACAACCTTTGATTTGTTTTGTTTGATTGTTTTATTTAAAGAAAACAGCACTAAAATGTCGGCGAGTCTTATCCGATGAATATGATTCATAGAGCTACTCAAAATTTTGGCTCCCGTCTCGCTGCGTCTTATCTGTGCATACGTCCTTCACGCGATGATGTACGGTACATAAAAATGCCATCACAAGATGAAGGACTGAGATTGAATGATGGGTTTACCTTGATTTATATTTTGAGCAGTGTCCATGTGGTAAAGTTATTGAAATTTCAAAGTTAGTTCATTTCAAACGATAAAATAAGTAGTTTTAGTAAATAAATTGCATTAAATCCAAAATCAATCTAATGATGGCTTTTAGTGCATTTGCAAAACAAAAAGGATGCGGGGTGGAAGAAGGGGGGAATCAGGGGGAGCGGGGAGAGGGTTTTTAAAAAGAGTGGAAGTTTCCCCTCTTTCCTGAAATAGAAAAGGAATGTTTTTCTGAGCTTGGAACAGTCAAACAGCTTTCTACGATAGGTGTCTTGCTTGTTTTCTCTCTGAAAGAATTCATTAGCATACTCAACAATGTTATAAGATAGACGCCTCCATCCCAATATTGTATCATGTCTATGTGTTGTTTTATTTTTGTCACTGTATCAGTTCCACAAAATCTTATTCACACGGTTTTTAATCTCTCTATTTGTCTATGTCTCTATTAATATCTCTATCTCTATCTATCTATCTATCAATCTATCTATCTATCTATCTATCTATCTATCTATCTATCTATCTATCTATCTATCTATCTATCTATCATTATCTCTATCTATCTACCTATCTACCTATCTATCTATCTATCTATCTATCTATCTATCTATCTATCTATCTATCTATCTATCTATCTATATATCTATCTATCTATCTATCTATCTACCACAGGTATTACAAGATGAGCACATACCACAAGGTGAAAATGAAGAACTACCCAAGGTTCAAAGGTTCAGCTTGGCTTGGCGGTGTGTGTGGGACTACATCAAAGTGAGCTGCAACTACTCCTCGCTTTCACTGGACGCATCATTCACACTGGGACAATCTTGTCTTGTTTTAAATTATTGTGGCCTTCTCTAGACAACAGCCGATCTCCAGTTACAGTGCCGATAAACATACTGACTTTTTTCAAACTACATTTATTGTAGTGTTTCTAGGCTGTCTGTTGAAAACTCAGTACTATTTTGAGAGAAGTAATTCTGTTTTACATGAATGAAAAGAAAAACGTATCTACAAACGCGTTTTATGAAAAGATAAAGCTACAATTCTCAGCTTCAGACAAAACTCTTTAGTTAACCAAGTATCTGGATTGTGAACCTTTTCATTTGATTGTAGACTATAAAATAATTATGTCCAACGCTCACACCGGCTCAATGATATTTCAGATGATTTACTGCATATTAGTGTGGCATTCTCTTAATCAAATCTGATTAAGCTATGGTAGGGTAAGCGTTGCGAGGCCTCTTGCACAAGAAGTTAGCAAAAGAAGTACATTTATTCCTTGAGATTCGTTCATGTTATGTTCTGAACTGCTTTTAATACATAATTTTTAATTTTACACTTGAAACCGGTTTTTATTGTGTGTGCAATGCTTGATGCGGCCTTGGCTTACCCAGACTCTACCTCCAGCTGCCCTTGGGTAACTGTGGTTTGAGTCCCCTGTATTAAATAAAAGAACTACCCCACCACTCAGGAACTGACTCATAATACCCTTAACGTACAATCGCGAGGAGACGTCTTCCCTCTACATCACAGACTCGGGTTCTTGGGAATTGACTCGCACCCTCTGTGCACAATCATAAAGAGTCTAATACGGGGTGCCCTTGTTGGCACGATCAGTTTGGTTGGGTTCGGTTGGGTTCGGTGAGGTTTGGTAGGCACTGCTAGCCAGATTGAGGGCGCGAAGCCACCATCGTGGTACAAACCAATCGCCTGACCCGCAGCCTAAAGAATAAACGCGTTTGTTTTCCGTCCGTGAATCGGGCGATCGGTAGGCGAACGGTCTGTCGACACCCCATTGGGCACTAGGTATCCAAGTCTTTCGTTGATTTAAATGAAAGCCTGCCCCCCGTGAATTTATGCACCATGCATAATTTAGCAAAATTTGATCATTTTTTTCTCTATTTTCTTATTATTTTCCTTCGTCATTCTTTGTTAAAATTAACAGAATCGCATAATTTCGCAATTTTTGGGCTCAGTTTGCATAATTTCATAATTTTTCTTGCATGAAACGACGGGGACAGGAAAGCTTAGGCCTAACCATTACACCGCAGATGATGCAAGCCCTCTTTTTCTTCTTACCCGTAATGTAACAATAGGATAGCACAATATGAACGGTCCTGAGAAATCACCCACCCGCCCACCCCCCTCCCATCTCTCTTGAGTCTAACACTGGGGTGGTGAGTGAGTGGGTTCGGACTTACAATGACAAGAGTCGTCGATGACACGATGTTCTGGAGGGAATGAAGTCAGCGGGGTGTGACCAAGAGCAAGGCGCCTTGCTTGGCGAGACATAATATGTTTTTAAAATACTGGTAATTGCACTGTGGCGACCAGCAATGGTGTTTTTATGTTATCCATATCGTGATATTGTGCATAATTATGTGGTGTTAGTGGAACCTTTATTTTTGGTATATTATGCAATATCATGGCATTGTACTTGAATGCCCATATGGGAATCATTATCAGTGAATTTTAAAAAAAAATTTGTTTGTTTTTTGTTTTGTTTCTTTGTTGTTGTTGTCTTTTGACGGCCCATAACCCACATGCTTATCACTGGTAGTTGAATTTAACTGTTTTTACAGGTTGTTGCCCTTGGCATCCAGGGGAAACTTTGTAAAACAGGCAGATCTGCCCCAAAATATCTCATACTACTGTTTGAATTGAAATAATGTACTTGTATTTTAATAGTCTTATATGATTGTTTCGAAACGCAGTTTCAACCACAGTTTCTAGCAAAATGTAGCAATGGATAGTGACTGTAAAAAAATAATGAAATGAATGAAAAAAAAAGAAGTTTTAACTCTTTCAGGGCGATGTATAAAATACAGCTTTACATCAAATGAACGGATTCATTTTTTAAAAAAATCATTTCTTGAGAGAGATAATCTTAATACATGACACGCCACGTACGACCGATCAATAGCAGACCAAAAGTAATGCTGTGGCCCGTCTCGAGCAATCATATGTTAAACAGAAATAAGACTTCGTAAGCTTAAGTGAAAATAGTAAAATGGTATAGGTTTAGCGCCCTACCAATACTGTTAGATTATTATATTTAAGAGGTAGGACCTCCGAGTTTAACGTTCATCTCAGAAAGGACCGAGTCAAATGGGAAGTTTGTGTAAAATGCCTTTCCCAATGACATAACGTC